TGGGGATTAGGATATCAATCACAGGATATAGGGATGAGGGTAACAATCACAGGAGAGGGGATGGGGTATCAATCACAGGAGATGGGGATGAGGGTATCAATCACAGGAGATGGGATGAGGGTATCAATTACAGGAGAGGGGATGAGGGTATCAATCACAGGAGATGGGGATGAGGGTATCAATCACAGGATATAGGGATGAGGGTATCAATCACAGGAGATGGGATGAGGGTATCAATCACAGGAGATGGGATGAGGGTATCAATCACAGGAGATGGGATGAGGGTATCAATCACAGGAGAGGGGATGAGGGTATCAATCACAGGAGATGGGGATGAGGGTATCAATCACAGGAGAAGGGGATGGGGGTATCAATCACAGGAGAGGGGATGAGGGTATCAATCACAGGAGAAGGGGATGGGAGTATCAATCACAAGAGAGGGGATGAGGGTATCAATCACAGGAGAGGGGATGAGGGTATCAATCACAGGAGAGGGGATGAGGGTATCAATCACAGGAGAGGGGATGAGGGTATCAATCACAGGAGATGGGATGAGGGTATCAATCACAGGAGAGTGAATAGGGTATCAATCACAGGAGAGGGTATGAGGGTATCAATCACAGGAGAGGGGATGAGGGTATCAATCACAGGAGAAGGGGATGGGGATATCAATCACAGGAGAGGGGATGAGGGTATCAATCACAGGAGAGGGGATGAGGGTATCAATCACAGGAGAGGGGATGAGGGTATCAATCACAGGAGAGGGATGAGGGTATCAATCACAGGAGATGGGATGAGGGTATCAATCACATGAGATGGGATTAGGGTATCAATCACAGGAGAGGGGATGAGGGTATCAATCACAGGAAAGGGGATGAGAGTATCAATCACAGGAGATGGGATTAGGGTATCAATCACAGGAGAGGGGATGAGGGTATCAATCACAGGAAAAGGGAAGAGAGTATCAATCACAGGATATGGGATGGGGGTATCAATCACAGGAGATGGGATGAGGGTATCAATCACAGGAGATGGGATGAGGGTATCAATCACAGGAGAGGGGATGAGGGTATCAATCACAGGAGAGGGGATGAGGGTATCAATCACAGAAGAGGGGATGAGGGTATCAATCACAGGAGAGGGGATGGGGGTATCAATCACAGGAGAAGGGGATGAGGTTGAAATCACAGGAGATGGGGATGAGGGTATCAATCACAGGAGAGGGGATGAGGGTATCAATCACAGGAGAAGGGGATGAGGGTATCAATCACAGGAGATGGGATGAGGGTATCAATTACAGGAGAGGGGATGAGGGTATCAATCATAGGAAATGGGATTAGGGTATCAATCACATGAGATGGGATTGGGTATCAATCACAGGAGAGGGGATGAGGGTATCAATCACAGGAAAGGGGATGAGGGTATCAATCACAGGAGATGGGGATGGGGGTATCAATCAAAGGAAATGGGATTAGAGTATCAATCACATGAGATGGGATTAGGGTATCAATCAGAGGAGATAGGGATGGGTGTATCAATCACAGGAGAAGGGGATGGGAGTATCAATCACAGGAGAGGGGATGAGGGTATCAATCACAGGAGAGGGGATGAGGGTATCAATCACAGGAGAGGGGATGAGGGTATCAATCACAGGAGATAGGGATGGGGGTATCAATCATAGGAGATGGGAATGAGGGTATCAATCACAGGAGATAGGGATGGGGGTATCAATCACAGGAAAAGGGGATGGGAGTATCAATCACAAGAGAGGGGATGGGGTATCAATCACAGAGATGGGATGAGGGTATCAATCACAGGAGAGTGAATAGGGTATCAATCACAGGAGAGGGTATGAGGGTATCAATCACAGGAGAGGGGATGAGGGTATCAATCACAGGAGAGGGATGAGGGTATCAATCACAGGAGAAGGGGATGGGAGCATCAATCACAAGAGAGGGGATGAGTGTATCAATTACAGGAGAGGGTATGAGGGTATCAGTCACAGGAGAGGGGATGAGGGTATCAATCACAATCACAGGAGAGGGGATGAGGGTATCAATCACAGGACAGGAGAGGGGATGGAGGGTATCAATCACAGGAGATGGGATGAGGGTATCAATCACAGGAGAAATCACAGGAGAAGGGGATGAGGGTATCAATCACAGTAGATGGAATGAGGTTATCAATCACGGGAGAGGTGATGAGGGTATCAATCAATCACAGGAGATGGGATGGGGGTATCAATCACCGGACAGGGAATGGGGATATCAATCATAGCAGAGGGGATGGGGTATCAATCACAGAGATGGGATGAGGGTGTCAATCACAGGGAGATGGGGGTATCAATGATGGGGTATCAATCACAGGAGATGGGATTAGGGTATCAATCACAGGAGATGGGATGAGGGTATCAATCACAGGAGAGGGGATGAGGGTATCAATCACAGGAGATGGGATGAGGATATCAATCACAGGAGAAGGGGATTAGGGTATCAATCACAGGAGAGGGTATGAGGGTATCAATCACAGGAGAGGGGATGAGGGTATCAATCACAGGATATAGGGATGAGGGTATCAATGGACAGGAGATGGAATTAGGGTATCAATTACAGGAGATGGGATGAGGGTATCAATCAGAGGAAATGGGATTAGGGTATCAATCACAGGAGAGGGGATGAGGGTATCAATCACAGGATATAGGGATGAGGGTAACAATCACAGGAGAGGGGATGGGGTATCAATCACAGGAGATGGGGATGAGGGTATCAATCACAGGAGAGGGGACGAGGGTATCAATCACAGGAGATGGGATGAGGGTATCAATTACAGGAGATGGGGATGATGGTATCAATCACAGGAGAGGGGATGAGGGTATCAATCACAGGAAAGGGGATGAGAGTATCAATCACAGGAGATGGGATGGGGGTATCAATCACAGGAGATGGGATGAGGGTATCAATCACAGGAGAGGGGATGAGGGTATCAATCACAGGAGAGGGGATGAGGGTATCAATCACAGGAGAGGGGATGGGGGTATCAATCACAGGAGAGTGAATAGGGTATCAATCACAGGAGAGGGGATGAGGGTATCAATCACATGGGGGTATCAATCACATGAGATGGGATTAGGGTATTAAGCACAGGAGAGGGGATGAGGGTATCAATCACAGGAGAAGGGGATGGGAGTATCAATCACAAGAGAGGGGATGAGGAATCAATCACAGGAGAGTGAATAGGGTATCAAGCACAGGAGAGGGGAGGAGGGTATCAATCACAGGAGATGGGGATGAGGCTGTCCATGACGGGAAAGGGTTTTCGCAGTCGTTTTATATTTGCAATATATAATTATTGTACTATTTTTTTGTAAGTATGAGCTATCAATGTAACATTTTCCGCGTGTTTTACATAATTTTACTATACGTCTGATTTTTGAGCTATCAATGTGACGTTTGTCACCTGTTTTACATAATTTTACTATACGTCTGTGTTTTTGAGCTACCAATATGACATTTTCCGCGTGTTTTACATAATTTTACTGTACATTTGTCCTTTGAGCTATCAATGTGACATTTGCCTTCTGTTATACATAACCTTTCTGTACGTCTTTCTTTTGATTATCAATGTAAATCTGAGATGACTATGTGTACTGTGTTATTTTTTTGTAAGACTTATTCCCCAGGGACACATTAAAATTTGGAATTATCCTCTCTTTGGAGATGTCATGACTGCCGTATATGTATATTTCAGTCTTTGTCACAATACATCATTGTAGTGATGTCTAGATGTAGCCCTGTTTAGTTTTCGTAGTAATCTAAATAACGAAGATATATTAGTCTCTTTCAGTGTAAATTAGACAAATATTTTATTGATAACACATTAAATAATGTTACATCATATCTATAATGCTTATTTATGACAACTCTCTCGTTAAAGATAGTCACATACAAAGCGTATTATATAAATACATGCGTTAGCACTTTCAAGGGAGATAATTCAGGATTGTCTATAGAAGCGATAAGTCGAGAAGGATTAGTTCCCATCTCCTCTCAGTCTTCTGAGAAGTCTTCTCCATCCAACATTGTATCGATACAACAGAGTAATCAAATAGTCAATCTGTGCTCAGACCTAGCAGGAACTTAAAAAGAAATTACATTTAACAAAATTGATATGAACAACAATGAAAAATAATTAAATAAGTACTTATATAGTAATACTAATTTTAATGTTTACGATCGCAGCCACTATACCGAGTTACTAAATTAGACGATCTGATCACACTTGGACATTGTACAAGGTTTATTTGCCGAAATACAGACCATTTAAATTTCAATCCAAGCTGTTATCTCTCTTTACCAAACTTTTTTTTTGTAAATCTTAAATAATTATGATAATAATAGACATTTCTGGTACATTAATACACTTAATATCAACAGTCATTAACGGTCAGCTAATAATAATAATAATAATAATAATAATAATAATAATAATAATAGACATTTCTGGTACATTAATACACTTAATATCAACAGTCATTAACGGTCAGCTAATAATAATAATAATAATAATAATAATAATAATAATAATAGACATTTCTGTTACATTAATACACTTAATATCAACAGTCATTAACGGTTAGCTAATAATAATAATAATAATAATAATAATAATAATAATAGACATTTCTGTTACATTAATACACTTAATATCAACAGTCATTAACGGTTAGCTAGTAATAATTATAATAAAAACAAAAATAAAATATAATAAAAAGTTATTCGTAAATTTTGAAGAAAACGTCAAGTGAGTCAGTAAGACCCAATCCCTCCTTCAGAGTCACATGACCAACTAGGAGTCTAGATCTCCATCCGTGTCACGTGTGTCTCACTAGAGGATTCAGTCTCTCACGTTAGTGTCAGGTGTCCTTCACTAGTGAAGCTAGTTTGGAATTGATGCTAAAGACTGAAGTTCTTTTGTCTCCTTTACTTCTTGTCTCTTGTTTATTAAGGTTCTATGTCTTCATCGGATCTAAGACCTTTCCAGTTTGACTTTGTTTGTTTTCTTTGTGTCTGTCTCCTCTTCATATTCCTTACGGTTTTTCTATAGTTTCTTTCCAAGTCAAGACGTTGTTTAGCCTTTGGTTTTGACTGAATTCTTTTGTCGTGTAGCGATTGAAAGTCATCATAAATCTCTTCAAGATCCTCTGTATTTTCTGTAGCATCTACTTCCATGCCCCCAACAGAAGAGCGCGCATCGTCCTCATCTTCTTCTAAGAGTTTCCCATGTGACGCCATGTCTTGTATCATCTTTCGTACTTTCAGCATGTCGTCGGACGAGGATCGCAGATCAGTCGCTGCAAGTACATGAAGTAATGTCTCGTATCTATGGGCAACCATTCCAATCAATTGCATTAGCAACAAAATGGCGAATATTAACAGAAAGGCAAATCCAAGAGGTTCAAACTGAAAAGTGTACATGTTGCGCAAGTATACAGTAACACTTACTGTGTCCTTAACTTGGTTCATAGCCGTCATGATAATTACCCACAAACCGTTCAGGAAGAAAAAGCTAAACGAAACACGATTTCGAAAATCTTGTAACATCGTTGACACTTCCTGTTTCTTTTTCTCGTCGTGTTCCAGGGGATAAAGATACGTCTCAATCAGGGAATACCAAAACGAGGATTCCTGGTCAGAAATCTTTTGTGGCAATTTCTTGGCCCAAGAGAGGTCATCAAGTGCTTGGATAGGTTGTTGGGGCCGGACTGTCTTCCGGTAAATACTAAACCCCTTACCTATTGAATGTCCTTTCGGAGTTGTTGGGTCGCTTACATCAGGGTCATTTTTGAATATCGTTTGCATTGTTGATAAGGATTTAAGGATGACAAGGTTGTTAGCCCATCTAAATATCGATAAGAATGCGTCTTTACAGGAGTTGATTCCAATCTTCTCGCCCTTCACCTGTTTTACAATGTCAGCCAAAACGTCTTGTGCGGCCTCACTAAATTCATCTTCTGCTTCTTTTATTTTCGGTTTTTTAGATGTATCAGTATGTTCTAGAACAGCCTTTTGCGTTTCCCTTGTTCCCCAAGACACATCGTTCAGATTACAGATGGCAAATATGATTAAGAAGAGATAGCCAGCAGGTATACATATGAAGTATATCACACCGAATAACAGGTCAGTGAACTCGTGAGGATGGAACAGTCCAGCCAAAATAAAGGAAGCTATCAGAATATAGAGGAAAATTGCCGTAGGTGAATACCAGCCATCGCCGGCGATACTGACAATGATACCGACAATGACTGCCATCATTGCAAAGGCATAGAGGGCGCTTAGCACCATGGCGGTGTTTAACTGTGTGTTTTTACTAAACCTAAGACAGATGAAGATAAAGACAAGGGTTGGGCCGTAAATAATGAGGTATGACACCCAGGTAGTTATGGGAAACACTGTCCGAAGACTTGACTCCATGGCGAGGAGGACCGTGGAAGGTCCGAGGATTGACGACACAAGAAGGACAGTCTGGTATATGATATAAAGATAGGAGATGTTGCTGTTGTTACGAGTTGTCCTGCTGCTGCTTCCTAACAGGTCAATTATGTTGGCCATCGTAGAGGGCAGCCATCTTCTCCGCTGGTTGAAAAATTCCTTAAAATCTTCCGGTGCAAAGGTCAACGCCTCCGCGGCCGCGCAATACTCTATTCTGTATCCCTGTTGTAGCATCAATGTACATAACCAACGGTCTTCTCCTGTAAAAGTGAATAATAAGCCAATATCAACTACAAAATGGTTTAAAATACAAATTCATTTACTACGAAATTGTAGAGTTCGATAGAAATATTGATTAACAATGTAATTTTTAAAAACTGAGCTTTATACCTTTTCTCATCGTAACTCTACACAGAATGAAATAGTCGTTTAAAGTAAGGCTTCCACATAAGATATATCAGTATTGAATTGAACAATCTTTGAGGCTGCCGTTGTTAGACATTTTGTTGGACTTTTAATCCCCAAGGTTTGCTGTAATATGCATGCCATGTTTTAATTCATATACATGCACTTGACGTTCTTTTCAATTTATAAGGTATACGAGAATTACGACGACTTCTGTTGAATTATGGGGTTAGTGCACTTCCAAATGTAGATTTTGTACTTTTTCCGATCAATTATAATTTTCTCAGTTGCCTCGAATGTTTCAAATGCAATCCTTATTGGCTCTAGTGTATCTTATTCTTAGTTTGTATTTCAATGTGTGTCTTGTACAATTTCATAAACGATCTCCTATTATTCGTTTGTATAGATAAATTGCTTGTGTCATCTCCCCTTGCCTACGTGTTTGGATGACATAATTAAGGGTAATTATCCCCCTTTTTCGATTTGGAATGCATAAGATCATTTGAGTTTGATCATCTCCCCTTGTCATATCATATACATAAATATTGTAAACACAACCTGCTGTTATATCGGGATTTGTTTTGACAAATATTATGTATGGCGCGTTTGATCGTATCCCCTCGGCAATGTTTGGTGTAATGTAATTATCGCCCCTTATTAGCTGATGCGGACGGCCTGATTTCAGAAGGATTATCTCCCCTCTGACGATGACATACCTTGATCGTACTGTAGGTAGTGCTTCGGCTCTGTAGGCAGTGTAGCGTATGTCCTCATCACGTTATCGTCCATCAATGCCTTGGCACGGAACATACTGAAACATCCGGGGCTGCACAAGACACATCCGAACACATGCTCAGCGGATTTCTGCAGCCAGTGACCGATCGCGTACTCAAATCTCTGGTACCAGACCACGGGACCTGCAAAACATGTTGATCTGTCTGATAAACTGCTATTGACAAAGAGATATGTTTTAATGAATACCATTTGCCCCAAAACTGAGCTTATCCAAAAAGGGTTTAAACACCATAAATGATGATTTTTTGAAAGCGTCGAAATCATTTTTGCAAGTGTATAAATATAACTTGTGTCGACTGTGCGTTGAGTATGCAAAAGGTGTATGCAATACTAGATTTTCGTTTTGTTGATAATTTATGCTATATGAAATTACACGTTTGCTGTACCTGATCCACCCGGTTTAATTCGTCCACATGTGGCCCCTACTTTCGGATCTTTCTTCATCCGGTCGACCAATAGTCGGATAGCTTCCGGTTCAAAGTCAACATCACCGTCAAGTGCCAGGAAGTAAGTGTTGTCGGCCTGAAGTAAATAATGAATTACTTTATATCGTCGCACCTGTATTGTCTGTATGCGAGATAATCTAGTTCCTGATGTACAAGCAACGTAATACTAAGTTCCCTTTAGAGTGTTGACGAATCAAAAATTAAATTTAAACGTCATTAAACATTTGCTTTTAATGATGAAAAAAATGAAAAACAGTATTTAAAGCATACAAAATAAATATAATTGTTTATTGAACGCAAATTGACCAAGAGAGGAAACGCTACCGAAAAGAACCGCAGTATCGTAAAATATTAACATAGTAATATAGGCTATATTTAGTCCTTGTTTTATCGATTTTGAAGTTAGATGGAGACTTCCAATTAAATAAACAATTCGTTAAACACTTTATGTTAGGAGATGTTAGACAATTTATCTAAATCGGCAAAATAAAGTCTTTTATATTCAATTATCTCAAAAGCCAATGTACTAAATGACACAAGCTGTTCAGTCATAATATTACTATTCATTCTATCAACTCATAAATCGTATCTACATCTGACAGTTCCTGTTTTTACCAACACCCTGATAGTTCCTGTTTCTATCGACATCCTGATAGTTCCTGGTTTTTTATCGACATCGTGATAGTTCCTGTTTCTATCGACATCGTGATAGTTCCTGTTTTTATCGACATCGTGATAGTTCCTGTTTCTATTGACATCGTGATAGTTCCTGTTTTATCGACATCGTGATAGTTCCTGTTTTTATCGACATCCTGATAGTTCCTGGTTTTTTATCGACATCGTGATAGTTCCTGTTTCTATCGACATCGTGATAGTTCCTGTTTCTATTGACATCGTGATAGTTCCTGTTTTTATCGACATCCTGATAGTTCCTGTTTTCATCGACATCGTGATAGTTCCTGTTTTTATCGACATCGTGATAGTTCCTGTTTTTATCGACATCGTGATATCCCCTGTTTTTACCAACACCCTGATAGTTCCTGTTTTCATCGACGTCCTGATAGTTCCTGTTTTTATCGACACCCTGATAGTTCCTGTTTTTACCGACACCCTGATAGTTCCTATTTTTATCGACGTCCTGATAGTCATAGGAATGAATATATATTTTCAAGCGTAATATTACAACTTTCTTAATCTTAACAACATCCAAGAAGTTTCAGTTCTTACCGATATTCTGACAGTTTCCGGGAGCAAATCAAAGATGGACGGGCACTCCTCAAAATTGGATTCTTCACTGAATAGGGAACGATTCTGTTCCATCATTTCGTATCCAATGAGGTAATACATGTACATTATCTATAACGATAAGAATTTTTACATCATTATCTTCAAAAATGTAACGATAGAACACAATGCATATAAAGCTCTCTATAGAACATCATTATCTACAAACTGTGTCCCTAAAGCATCATTATCTACAAAATGTGTCCCTAGAACATCTACAAAATGTGTCCCTAGAGCATCATTACCTCCAAAATGTGTCCCTACAGCATCATTATCTACAAAATGTGTCCCAAGAACATCATTATCTACAAAATGTGTCCTTAGAACATCATTACCTGCAAAATGTGTCCCTAGAGCATCATTACCAGCAAAATGTGTCCCTAGAGCAATATTATCTACAAAATGTGTCCCTAGAGCATCATTATCTACAAAACATGTCCCTAGAGCATTATTATCTACGAATTGTGTCCCTAGAACATCACAATTTACAAAATGTATACCATGAGCAACTTTATCTACAAAATGTATCCCTAGAGCATCATTATCTACAAAATGTGTCCAAAGAGCATCATTATCTACAAAATGTGTCCCTAGAACATCATAATCTGCAAAATGTGTCCCTAAAACATCATAATCTACAAAATGTGTCCCTAGAGCATCATTATCTACAAAATGTGTCTCTAGAGCATCATTATCTTCAAAATATGTCCCTAGAACACCATTATCTACAAAATGTATACCATGAGTAACTTTATCTACAAAATGTATTCCTAGACCATTATTATCTACAAAATGTGTCCAAAGAGGATCATTTTCTACAAAAGGTACCCCTTGAGCATCATTATCTACAAAATATGTCCCTAGACCATCATTATCTACAAAATGTGTCCCTAGAGCATCATTATCTACGAAATGTGTCCATAGAGCATCATTATCTACAAAATGTGTCCCTAGAACATCATAATCTGCGAAATGTGTCCCTAGAGCATTATTATCTACAAAATGTGTCCCTAGAGCATCATTATCTACAAAATGTGTCCCTAGAGCATCATTATCTACAAAATGTGTCCCTAGAGCATCATTATCTACAAAATGTGTCCAAATGTATACCACGAGCAACTTTATCTACAAAATGTATCCCTAGAGCATCATTATCTACAAAATGTGTCCCTAGAACATCATAATCTACAAAATGTGTCCCTAGAGCATCATTATCTACAAAATGTGTCCCTAGAGCATCATTATCTACAAAATGTGTCCCTAGAGCATCATTATCTACAAAACTAGAGCATTATTATCTACAAAATGTGTCCCTAGAGCATCATTACCTGCAAAATGTGTCCCTAGAGCATCATTACCAGCAAAATGTGTCCCTAGAGCAATATTATCTACAAAATGTGTCCCTAGAACATCATTATCTACAAAATGTATACCATGAGTAACTTTATCTACAAAATGTGTCCTAGACCATTATTATCTGCGAAATGTGTCCCTAGAGCATTATTATCTACAAAATGTGTCCCTAGAGCATCATTATCTACAAAATGTGTCCTTAAAGCATCATTATCTACGAAATGTGTCCCTAGAGCATCATTATCTACGAAATGTGTCCCTAGAACATCATTACCTTCAAAATGTGTCTCTAGAACATCATTATCTACAAAATGTGTCCCAAGAACATCATTATCTACAAATTGTGTCCTTAGAACATCATTATCTGCAAAATGTGTCCCTAGAGCATCATTACCAGCAAAATGTGTCCCTAGAGCAATATTATCTACAAAATGTGTCCCTAGAGCATCATTATCTACAAAATGTGTCCCTAGAGCATCATTATCTACAAAATGTGTATCTACAAAATGTATCCCTAGACATCATTATCTACAAAATGTGTCCCTAGAGCATCATTATCTACGAAATGTGTCCATAGAGCATCATAATCTACAAAATGTGTCCCTAGAACAGCATAATCTGCGAAATGTGTCCCTAGAGCATTATTATCTACAAAATGTGTCCCTAGAGCATCATTATCTACAAAATATGTCCCTAGAGCATCATTATCTACAAAATGTGTCCCTAGAGCATCATTACCAGCAAAATGTGTCCCTAGAGCATCATTATCTACAAAATGTGTCCCTAGACCATCATTATCTACGAAATGTGTCCATAGAGCATCATTATCTACAAAATGTGTCCCTAGACCATTATTATCTACAAAATGTGTCCAAAGAGCATCATTTTCTACAAAAGGTACCCCTTGAGCATCATTATCTACAAAATATGTCCCTAGAGCATCATTATCTACAAAATGTGTCCCTAGAGCATCATTATCTACGAAATGTGTCCCTAGAGCATTATTATCTATAAAATGTGTCCCTAGAGCATCATTATCTACAAAATATGTCCCTAGAGCATCATTATCTACAAAATGTGTCCCTAGAACATCATAATTTACGAAATGTATACCACGAGCAACTTTATCTACAAAATGTATCCCTAGAGCATCATTACCAGCAAAATGTGTCCCTAGAGCATCATTATCTACGAAATGTGCCAATAGAGTATCATTATCTACATAATGTGTCCCTAAAGCATCATTATTTAAAAAATGTGTCCCTGGAGCATCATTACCTACAAAATGTCTCCCTAGAGCATCATTATCTACAAAATGTGTCACTAGAGCATCATTACCTCCAAAAATGTGTTCCTAGAGCACCATTATCTACAAAATGTGTCCCAAGAACATCATTATCTACAAAATGTGTCCTTAGAACATCATTACCTTCAAAATGTGTCCCTAGAGCATCATTACCAGCAAAATGTGTCCCTAGACGATCATTATCTACAAAATGTATACCATGAGTAACTTTATCTACAAAATGTATTCCTAGACCATTATTATCTACAAAATGTGTCCAAAGAGCATCATTTTCTACATCAGGTACCCCTTGAGCATCATTATCTACAAAATGTGTCCCTAGAGCATCATTACCAGCAAAATGTGTCCCTAGAGCATCATTATCTACAAAATGTGTCCCTACAAAATGTGTCCCTAGAGCATCATTACCAGCAAAATGTGTCCCTAGAGCATCATTATCTACGAAATGTGTCCCTAGAGCATCATTAACATCTACAAAATGTGTCCCTAGAGCATCATTACCAGCAAAATGTGTCCCTAGAGCATCATTATCTACGAAATGTGCCAATAGAGCATCATTATCTACAAAATGTGTCCCTAGAGCATCATTACTTAAAAAATGTGTCCCTGGAACATCATTACCTCCAAAATGTGTCCCTAGAGCATCATTATCTACAAAATGTGTCCAAAGAGCATCATTATTTACAAAATGTGTACCCCTAGAACATCATTACCTGCAAAATGTGTCCCTAGAGCATCATTATCTACGAAATGTGTCCCTAGAGCATCATTATCTACGAAATGTGTCCCTAGAGCATCATTATCTACAAAATGTGTCCCTAGAGCATCATTATCTACAAAATGTGTCCCTAGAGCATCATTATCTACAAAATGTGTCCCTAGAGCATCATTATCTACAAAATGTGTCCCTAGAGAACATCATTACCTGCAAAATGTGTCCCTAGAGCATCATTACCAGCAAAATGTGTCCCTAGAGCATTATCATCTACAAAATGTGTCCCTAGAGCATCATTATCTACAAAACATGTCCCTAGAGCATTATTATCTACGAAATGTGTCCCTAGAACATCACAATTTACAAAATGTATACCATGAGCAACTTTATCTACAAAATGTATCCCTAGAGCATCATTATCTACAAAATGTGTCCAAAGAGCATCATTTTCTACAAAAGGTGCCCCTAGAGTATCATTATCTACAAACTGTGCCCATAGAGCATCATTATCAACAAAATATGTCCCTAGAGCATGATTATCTACGAAATGTGTCCATAGAGCATCATTACCTGCAAAATGTGTCCCTAGAACATCATAATCTACAAAATGTGTCCCTAGAGCATCATTATCTACAAAATGTGTCTCTAGAGCATCATTATCTTCAAAATATGTCCCTAGACCATCATTATCTACAAAATGTATACCATGAGTAACTTTATCTACAAAATGTATTCCTAGACCATCATTATCTACAAAATGTGTCCAAAGAGCATCATTTTCTACAAAAGGTACCCCTTGAGCATCATTATCAACAAAATGTGTCCCTAGAACATCATAATCTGCGAAATGTGTCCCTAGAGCATTATTATCTACAAAATGTGTCCCTAGAGCATCATTATCTACAAAATATGTCCCTAGAGCATCATTATCTACGAAATGTGTCCCTAGAGCATCATTATCTACGAAATGTGTCCCTAGAACATCATAATTTACGAAATGTATACCACGAGCAACTTTATCTACAAAATGTATCCCTAGAGCATCATTATCTACAAAATGTGTCCCTAGAGCATCATTATCTACAAAATGTGTCCCTAGAGCATCATTATCTACGAAATGTGCCAATAGAGCATCATTATCTACAAAATGTGTCCCTAGAGCATCATTATTTAAAAAATGTGTCCCTGGAACATCATTACCTCCAAAATGTGTCCCTAGAGCATCATTATCTACAAAATGTGTCCAAAGAGCATCATTATTTACAAAATGTGTCCCTAGAGCATAATTATCTACAAAATGTGTCCAAAGAGCATCATTTTCTTCAAAAGGTGCCCCTAGAGCATCATTATCTACAAAATGTGTCCAAAGAGCATCATTTTCTACAAAAGGTACAGCATCATTATCTACAAAATGTGTCCCTAGAGCAGATTAGCAAAATGTGTCCTCATCACTATTTACAAAATATGTCCCCAGAGCATAATTATCTACAAAATGTGTCCCTAGAGCATCATTATCTACAAAATGTGTCCAAAGAGCATCATTTTCTACAAAAGGTACCCCTTGAGCATCATTATCTACAAAATATGTCCCTAGAGCATGATTATCTACAAAATGTCTCCTAAGAACATCACTATTTACAAAATATGTCCCTAGAACATAATTATCTACAAAATGTGTCCCAAGAACATCACTAACTC